AACATTGCAACCGCGCTGGAAGATTGTTGTTGTTACGACTCTATTTTAGCGCGTCTAATAATGTTCCTGTTATTGGTTGTCTACGCTCTGTTTAGCTGGGGTTGGGGAGACGGTTGGGTATTTGTTTTTTTTTTGTTTTTTCTTGTTGTTTGTTTCGTCAATTTCTCTCTTTTCTACAACTGTTTTTACCGCTTTCCGTTCAGGTAATATTTATTGTTTCACCATTTTTCTTCTTATTATATTTATTTTCTAGATTCCATTACCTAGCAATTATTATTCGACTATCTTTGCCGTTGCTTCGGCAATGTATTTGCTATTCTTCCTTCTTGGACAGAGCTTTCACACAAAAAGTATTTGAGGAGTTTCTCTGGAAATCAAGCTACAGCAAGTACTGCATACCATTTGTCCTTGCTTAGAATATTGCTGCCACATATGGTTCGGAGCCCCTGCTATTTACCTTAAGCTTCTTCATAAGATCCAAAGAAGTTATTATTGACAGCTCAGCTTCAATCACTTTCCCACCGACGTAAGGTTGCCTCTCTGTGTCTTTTTTAAAAAAATAGTTCCATAATAATTGTTCGTCTGAGCTCTTCGCTATGTTACCTAGACTTTATGAATTTAAGCGCAGTACTAGGTTTGCATCGAGATCTCATCAATTTTCTGTAGAGCTGGGTAGATGTAACCGTAAGTTTTATGATAAGTTTCTTTTCTCGCACTTATTACTTGTGGAACTCCTTTCCAGCTCCATGCTTTCCAGCCAACATTAATCTGCAAAAAATTAAATTCAATGTTAATGTCTGTCTGGACTTTTAGTGTTGATTGATTTGTCTATGTATTATGAAGTCCCATAAAATTGTAACAGGTCCTATCTCCGTAATCATGTTTGGGTGGTGTTCATGCCAATTTCTTGCAGTTTCCTTCACGTAAACGTTGCAGATTTTCCAGTGCAGATATTAGTCCACTCCGTCATGCCGGGTTTTATATTCAGTGGGTGTCTATTCTGAGGAAACTGATACAAGATGGTCAATTGCTTATGGATATTTATTAGAGAATCTGCATTTTGGGCTAACAATTTTTCAGTATGTGTCGTTGAGAATTTCTAATTAGCAAGCATTGGTCCTGTGCTGCAAAAATTAAACCTTCGGTTTCAGATTTCAATCCTGTACTACGTAGCCATTGATGGAAACAGAGTTGGTCTATGTCAGCTTGTTTGGTACGGGTAGAGTATTGACTATGAAGCGGTTTATCTTACCATCGTTTTTGTATCTGGTCGATCGCATTTGCCTTTGCTTTCTTTTTTAAGTGTTTTGCAGTTTCATCGGTGTATTGTGCTTTACTTCTTTATTTCTTCGGCCATTTGAAACACTAATTTGAATTTGTTGGCTTCATTTATTGCTGAAAAAAGTCGCTTACTACTTTCTTGTTCTTTGACACAGATTGTCAGCCAGTCTTCTGTAGTTTCTATCTTTGAAGGCCAATTGCTGTAGTTTTCTCGGACATATCTAGTTGAACTAATCCTCTGCCTCTTCTGGATCCGGGCACATACAGAGGATCAGCATCAGCTTTGGGATTATGCATGTGATGGCAGGTGAGAAGCTTTCTCGTTTTGGCGTCCATTTTCTTAAAGTCAGCTATGGTCCAGTTAAGGATGTTGAAACTGTATTGTATTTTTTTTTTTATTCAGCACGGTATTCAGTACCAGACGCACACGCCTGTAGTACTCATTTCTTACCTTCTCCTACATTTGGGTATGCTATATTTCATCTCCTTCGCTAATTCCTGGGTATGCTTTCGGCATATAACATTTCAGGTCATCTGTTTCACCCGGTTTGGCAGGAGATATGTAATACCTTCAGTGATCCATTCTGCGAATTCATTGGGATTATTAATAAGCTTTGATAGAGTTTGTGCAAGGGTTTTATGGATTGATGCTAAATAATAGAACCAAAACTGTCATTTCCTAGGGATATACATTTTGAGGATTTCGTAAGAGCTTTCCTAACATTATTCGTGGTTATATTTTCCCTCTCTTGTAGAGGTTTATCCAGTATTAGTTCTTCTTTAAGTTGAATTCATTCTACATTGAGGTTATATTCCTTTAGGCTGCTCGAAATCTTCTCCCCAAATTTCTTCACTTTGTCAATACATGTTGGCTTTTTGACATGTATAGATGCTTTTCCAATTTCCCTCAAAAATTTCTCAAGTTCCGTTTGGAATATTTTATTTTGACGATAGAACCTACAACGTTTTCCGTATCTTTAACTGCAGTTTCTGTTTCAGCATTTCCTTGATTGATGGAATTTTATTTAGTGATTTAATTTTTATTATTATTCACCCACTTCACTCACACTTCTCACCATTAGTAACTTGTTGGTTACATCGAGGATAAAATGTCAGCAAATCTCCCCAATTCTACAACATTATTTTCAGTAACATTTGTGCTTTCAACTGGTTGTTGTATGGATTGTTACAATTCATTCTCAGATTTTAATTTCCCCTAACCATTCATCGGAGCTACTCCCAGAGATCACAAAACGACCATTATATTATTTCCTTAGGATTTCCCCAGCTTCATGGAAAAGTTGGCATGCTTATTTTTCTTTTAATTTGCTTTCAGAACTTCTCTTCGGTCTGAGAGAACAAAAAAATAATATATCATGTCTTCTTCTCTTTATTTACGATGACCAAATCCAGTTATGTGGTTTGGATCGGTTGATTTCACCTTTCATTATCGACAAGAAATTCTAGTCAATGCATGCACTGTTATTATTTACAGTGAAAATGCAATTGTTTGCACAGTTCTCATTGAGCAATCACCTCCACCCCGTCATGCATATTCTTGTATTTTTTCTGATACTAATTTCCTACTTGCTACTCTTATGGCGATTTTCTAAGCGTAGCTTAGATGTGACTCGAGGCCGAAAGCGTGGAGCACCCAGTGAGGATCAAACTCACTATTCAGTCGTAATTTATCCAGGGAGACAAGCTTGCTAAACATTACACAAAGTCCATGTTCCCAAATCGAAAGAAGATGTGATGATTTACTAAGAGTAGTTTAGACGTGGTACAAAGCTGAACGTATGGGGCATCCAGTGTGGATCGATCTCACTATTCATTCGTAATTGATCTACCGTGAGAAGTTTGCTAATTACACCAAGTCAAAGTGATCAAACATACTGTTCTTGCTTTTTTTTAAAAAAATTCTTATGGTCTTTATAGGTCGATTTTTATTGGCTTATTTGGGGTGTCTATAAAAGCGTCTAAGTTTCTCTTTGGAGGTTTCCTCTACGCAGCCTTGCCTATGTCGATTCCCATTCTTCCTTCTTCTTCCTTAACTTTATCCATCTTTCACCTGTTTTAGCATATTTTTTTCATTCTTGTCTTCTTGATCTTTACCTTCCTCTTTCTCCTCGCTATTTTTTTTATTATTATTAGTAGTAGTAGTAGTAGCAGTCGTAGCAGTAGCAGTAGTAACCCCCAGTATTACCAACCTACAATTGGTAATAAAGGCGTTCTATTCCTGAAGTTTCTTTCCAAGATTCGCTAATTTGTGGAAAATGCTCCTACGTGGATACTTAACACTATAAGCATGACGTCTTCAAGCCTAAGGTTAATAGTTATCTATACACCACATCAATGTAATTTGAACTTTCTATTTCCTTCTCTTATATTTATATCACACATCTCATTCAGCAACCCTCTACTTTGAATGTATTTTTTGGCCTTGTATTTCTTTTACAATAATGTTCATTCTGTACAAGGACCAAGAGGCACTCGAGGTAGAGGGTTACAGAGCAAGAGGCAACACTGCAAGCAAGTTGATAATGCCACCAAGATGCAAAGTTCCACCGGAAATGAAAGAGAAAGAAAAGGCTTTAGAAGAGACCGGTAGGTCAATTCCAAAGAGTAACCAAGTGTTGAAACTTGACTAATGCATGGAATAATAATACAACACAAAATGTACTTAGAACAAAATGTATTGAAACAAGAAAGTGTACACAATATTTACATATAGTCTTTTGTATATTCTTGGGAAGACCATTCCTGGAGAATGTGTTGACTTAGTCGCAGTTGGGCAGAGTCTCTGGATTGAATCTCTTGATTCCTTCCCCCCGTCTTCCCGGCACCAACCATATTTATATGGTCGGTACTCCACTATGCAAATTAGGTGGATCCTACCCCAACACCAAGGGACAAACTTCTATTCAAAAAAACCGGGGGAAAGTGTGATCCTATCCACAGGCGAACCTATCTTATCATATTGAGGAAAAACATGTAAATATATAATAAATAAAATGTTAGGTGGAGACGTTAGAAATAGATTTTAGAGTTGAAGCAGATTTTAGAAGGAACCGAAAATCGAATCCTAAACAAGAAACAAGGCATAAATATCTACACCGATTCAAAAGACCGGGGAGGTTGTGAACCGGACAAAAGGCGTGTGATAGGTGAAACTCCAATTGAGGAAAAAATTTTAAAATAAGAAAATAAAATAAATGAATGAATGAATACACAATAAAAAGAATTTAGGCAGTGACGTTAGAACTATAGAATTGAAGTAGAATATTAGGTGAAAAACCTGTATGCAGAAATATTTTCTAGGTTAATAAGGGAGCGGAATAGTATCGCAGACAAGAACTAAGCTGAGTTCTGAAAACACCAGTAAAGGCCATAGAAGATTACATGTATAGGAATGGTAACAGAATTATTCAAAAGTTACCATTCCTGGAATGTTACCGAAAGCGACAGATACCCGAGGAAAATTAGAAGGTAGGCCGGTCGAAATTGCACGATAAAAACCCCGGAAGCTATTTCCACTATTGACATTGTTTGGATTGCCGTTGTCATCTTTATCGCCATATTCACGACGTTTCGCCCGTTGTACGAAAGGTGTAAATAATGGAAAGAGTTACATTACCTCATTTCGGAAATATAGACACCAAGAAACTATTTTCAAAGAATGGATATGACTATATATTGCATCATAAATAATTTCCGTT